AGGGCCCTATCATACACCCGGCGCAATGCGGCACCAGGCGTGATGCACATGTTTTTTGCTAGTTTCAGCCCGACGCCGTTATCATTTTCACGTCCTGCACCACGTTGTTTAAATAGCAAAAGCATTTGCGCCCATGGGCGTGCTGGTCTGAAAATGAGGTGTGTTCAGGCGCATTGCTGGCGCGTTGCTATTTTGAGGCAACTGAAATAGACTCAGCCTTTGACCAACAAAAACCTGGTCTAAAGTCTGGCGCAATATTTTTTTTTGCTATTTAAAGAGCACAATTTGCTTATTACACAGGGATGCACAGGGATGCGCAGCAGCACACAAACAATTTTAAAAATGAAAAATTAAAGGATTAAAACGTAAAAGATTATTATTGTGTACATAAATATAAAAATGACTACATGTCATAATGGATAGTCTTTGTATGTATCAGAATTACGCACACGAGCAGATCCGTTCCCTCACTAGAGAAGCGCTCCGTTTTTCCGCTTGGAAATTCCATCATGTAAATAGTGAATCCGCCATGGCGCAAGTGCAACTGGCTTTTAAAGGGAATGGGAGATGAGACTCTGATTGGTTTATGGCACGTTACGTCCAAAACACATCCATTACTGATTAAGAGAATAGAAACAACCCTTTTAGACTAAGCGCAATTGCGCCGTGCGCTTTAGACCTTGCGCTTAGATCGTTAAAATAGGGCCCTAAAGAGTTTACACATACTGGTGGATTAACCATTACAGAAACATAAAACATTACTTTGGTAATCACCAATACTTTTAGTTTAGGGCAGCTGTGGCACAAACCTTACATGTGTTAAGCACTGTATGTATGCATGTATATATAATATATATAATATATATATATATATATACATAGTTTAAAAAAAAAAAAAATCGAAGAGAACCAGTTTGAGCCTGATCTTTTCAGAACAACAGTTGTGTTTGTGTTGCGTCATTGCGTGCTTGTCTTACTCTCATTGATGTGGTTGTAACAGATGGCCCCTTCTTGGGCTACATGACAGTTGACGGCCGTCCAGGTGCCCTTGGAGTCCACAAACACACACTTTTCCTCAGAATCACGGCCGTCATTGACAAATCCATCTGGTGTGAATTTCACCGCACTCCCATCTGACCACTCAAATGGCCATCCGCTTACCTAGAGAAACATCCGGACAAATTACATAATGCAAAAGTTTGAGCTTACTGCTATTCATTGCTGTTCATTATTACTATTATCACACAAAATTGTGTACGTCTTGTTTGGAGAGGCCGATCCACAGTGAAAAGCCGTCTCTTTTGGCGATCAGTGCCATGTTGTCGTTAGTGGTTTTGTCAGGAATGCTGGCAAGATGGCCTCCGTTGCTGCCACACTCTTGCAGTGCCTGATACCAGTCCATTCTCTTGGCCACCCGACGGTAACTTATGCCATCCGGAGTATTAACGTCAACCACACCCTTCATGAATTCATCTTTGGAGACTATAAAAGATATTTTCGCAAGTTTATAAATAAAATTGACTCTTTTCACAAATATTTATATAGACGTAAGGAACGTCCACTACTAGTTTTTATTTTTTATTATTTAAAGAAATGAATACTTTTATTCAGCAAGAATGCATTCAATTGATGAAAAGTGACAATTAAGTTTATAAATAAAATTGACTCTTTTGACAAATATTTATATAGACGTAAGGAACGTCCACTACCAGTTTTTATTTTTTATTATTTAAAGAAATGAAATGAATACTTTTATTCAGCAAGAATGCATTCAATTGATGAAAAGTGACAATAAAGACATTTATAATTATTTTATAATGACGTATATATGTATTTTTAATTGATAAAGATTTCTATACCAAATAAACGCTGAAAAATTCATCAAAGAATGCTGAATTTATATATATATATATTAAAAGAATTAAACAGTTATCTTAAATTTTAATAATATTTCAGAATATTACTGTTTTTTTTTTTACTAATTCATTTTCTTTTAGCAGTTAAAGGTCACAAGGTATTTGTCTGGTTTGTTTGACAAGCACAGTTTTCTTTCCAACTGCATTTTTCTGGGCCAGTACATATTGAAGGGCTCATGCTTTTTTAAAACAACTGTAAATTTTAAATGTGTATATCAAAAGTTTAAGCATAAATAAAAATTGTTTAGAAGCGCATAACCTACAAGATACAAAAATACAAATATGATTTATCTTATAAATAATCCTGGAGTGTGACAAATACATTTTATAATAAATAAATGATATACAATATTTGCCTTTTTATCATTAGTAGTATTTTATTAGTACTTATTTTTATAAGTAGTTGTATTTTAATTCATATGAGGTCATAAGAACAACATGCATACTAATGATAAAAAATAGAAAATAAGTTTTAGTTGGATTACAGCTTGTCACACTTCTATCATGGCATATCAATTACTCATTTTGCAGTTTAAGGCTAAATAAAAACATTTTTGTTAAAAATATATTTATATATAAAAAGCAAAACAAACTGAAACTCATTGGTGCTGCTTTACCATTTTCATTCTTGCACACCACAATACTCTGCTGTCTGAAGGAATTGAAAAAACGTTGATTTGTTATCATTTCCCACTCTCCGTTTAAGTTGAGGCCAACCATGAAGGGCTCCGTGATGTTTGGTCTTTGACCGGATTTCCAGTTAGAGAACTGCACATTGCTGCCATCTAGCCACTTCAGCTGCTCATCTAAACCAAACACATCATACAGGGCAAAAAAGAACCGCTAGTTGATACTTTCTTACTCAATCTTTCCACATAAAGGCTGAAATACACTACATGATTTTTGCCCGTTTTCAGCCTTAAGAAGCTGACGCTAGTTATCGAAAGTCAGAGCCAATCTGCAGATTTTGGTCAGTCGGAGTTTACAGATTTCACAGAAAATCGCGTAGTGTATGAGGGGCACAGAGTCAGATTTTTCAGATCATAGATTTTTTTTTCAGATTTTAGAAGTCATGTAGTGTATTAGCTTTAACCTGGAAAAATCCAAATTAATTGTCATTTGGTGTAAAATTGTGAATGTTTAGTCGCAGTTAATTGGCAGTTTAAGATTACATAACTCACAAGAGTGAACTTTGGGAAGTGATCATCTTACCTGTCTTGTTTTTGTTCATTCCCAGCCACACAAACATCACCAAGTTTTTGAATGGCTGCAACTGCTGTCTGATGAAATCATTCTCTTCCTCATCACGGATAGTCAGGATTTCTCCAAACCCAGCTAAAACACACAGACAAGATTACCATAAATGGCCATGTGCAGCTAAATTCGGATGTCAATTCACCTCTTAATGCTAAATCTTGTTCTGTACACACACAGTTCTGAAATTTACTGGAGGAAATTGCTCACTCCCCAAAAATGCAGGAAGTGACAACCACGTTTGCAGAAATTCTATGCAGTGTGTACAAAAACAAACTGAACAACTATTTGTTAATGATGTATTTAAATGCATTTCAGAGTTGTGGTGCAAGAAATCACGGGGAAGGTGGTACGTCTAGACTCAATTTGTTGCCAGATCTTGCTAAAAAAAACAAAACAGCAAATAAGAACAAGCCTATAATAAACTTAAATCCCAATAAGCTACATACCAAAGTATTATTACCTGCACTTTCCAACTCTATTATCTCTATAAAGTAAATAGTTTATAAGCTGAGACCAAACAACAAACCCGTTTATAATTACTGGACATGGCAACCCTTAAAGAGCGCTCTGTGAAGTAGCTTTCCAAACATCATCAAAACACAGTGGCTCTGTTGACGGTGGTTTAGTTCAAATCGACGAGCATAACCAGTCTTTGGTCGCTGTAATATTACTTTGGTCAAAAATAGCAAATACCAAACACGCAAAACATTGCTATAGTTACCATGGTGCCAATTATCACAGTTTCAAGAGTGAGTTCTGTTCTGTACACATACAAAACTATCATTTTTTGAGATTCACTCCCGTATTTAAATGCGGTTGTCACTCCTGAAACTTTACAGTGTGGCCACTGTGAAATTCAGATATGACTTCTGGTAATGTTCCTTTAGAAATCATTAAACACAGGCGTTTATACAGAAACTTTGAATACACAGCAGTAAAAGAAACATGTTGTGCAGAATAATTTGTCCAGTTTTTTAAAGGTCCCAGATATGATGCATCCATACCAAGTGACTTGCAGATCGGCTGCTCATTGATTTCATCGTTGCCCCACCTGGAGGGCCCCAGCAGTAACGTGTAGCAGTTCTTCTTAAAGCGGATCCAGTTCTGTCCATTGCTTTTGTGAGGACATTTGAAGAGATTCACTCCCGTATTTAAATGCGGTTGTCACTCCTGAAACTTTACAGTGTGGCCACTGTGAAATTCAGATATGACTTCTGGTAATGTTCCTTTAGAAATCATTAAACACAGGCGTTTATACAGCATCTTCGACCATAGAATTGAAACTTTGAAAACACAGCAGTAAAAGAAACATGTTGTGCAGAATAATTTGTCCAGTTTTTTAAAGGTCCCAGATATGATGCATCCATACCAAGTGACTTGCAGATCGGCTGCTCATTGATTTCATCGTTGCCCCACCTGGAGGCCCCCAGCAGTAACGTGTAGCAGTTCTTCTTAAAGCGGATCCAGTTCTGTCCATTGCTTTTGTGAGGACATTTGAATGAATCTACTTCAGGTGTGACGGTCTTATCTATTATGAAAAAAAAATGCATTTTTAAGCAAAACATATGAAAGTAAATAATGAAAAGCACAGGTAGCAGTTAGCATTTATGAACTGAATCCTCACTGTGTGGGATGTGGCAGATTGCTCCTGAAAGCTCTTCATCACACTCGGTTGCCTTCCAGAACCCATCAGTGTCCAGATACACACAGGCCCCTTTGGTGGCTTCAGAGGTCCAGCGGCTGAACTCAGCGTGGCTGTGGTCTGTCCAGTGGAAGTGCTCCCCTTCCTTGATTACAATAATAATAATGATCAGGGATGGTAATGACATTGAACTGTTCTAGTATGTAATACACTAACATTTGTAAGTTTGGGGTTCAGAAAGATTTTTTTTAAAATTATTATTAATACTTGTATTCAGCAAGAATGCATTAAATTGATCAAAAGTGACATGTGTATAATGTTACAAAAGACTATGTTTCAAATAAATTCTGTTCTTTTAAACTTTCTATTTATCTTGGAAAAATGTATTATGGTTTTCACAAAAATGATGAGCAGCAGAACTGTTTTCAACATTGATAATAATATTAATTGTTACTTCAGCATCAAATCAGCATATTATGATGATCACAGAATCATGTGACACTGAAGACTGGAGTAATGATGCTGGAAATTCAGCTTTGCTATCAGAGGAACATAGAAAAGTTCTTTTAAATGCTGTTCTATTGAACTTTCTATTCATCAAAGAATCCTGAAAAATTACATTTAAATTTTTTAATGTTTTTGTTTTATATATTAAAATGGAAAAGTTATTTTAAATTGTACTAATATTTCAGAATATTACTCCTTGATTACAATAATAACAATGATCAGGGATGGTAATGACATTGAACTGTTCTAGTATGTAATACACTAACATTTGTAAGTTTGGGGTTCAGAAAGATTTTTTTTTAAATTATTATTAATACTTGTATTCAGCAAGAATGCATTAAATTGATCAAAAGTGACGTGCATAATGTTACAAAAGACTATGTTTCAAATAAATTCTGTTCTTTTAAACTTTCTATTTATCTTGGAAAAATTTATTATGGTTTTCACAAAAATGATGAGCAGCAGAACTGTTTTCAACATTGATAATAATATTAATTGTTACTTCAGCATCAAATCAGCATATTATGATGATCACAGAATCATGTGACACTGAAGACTGGAGTAATGATGCTGGAAATTCAGCTTTGCTACCATAGGAATAAATAATATTTTTTACTGTATTTTTCATCAAATAAATGGTGAACATGAGACTTGCTTCAAAAATGTGTTTAAAAAAAGTGACTGATTGGAAAAATTTATTATGGTTTTCACAAAAATGATGAGCAGCAGAACTGTTTTCAACATTGATAATAATATTAATTGTTACTTCAGCATCAAATCAGCATATTATGATGATTTCTGAAGAATCATGTGACACTGAAGACTGGAGTAATGATGCTGGAAATTCAGCTTTGCTATCAGAGGAACATAGAAAAGTTCTTTTAAATGCTGTTCTATTGAACTTTCTATTCATCAAAGAATCCTGAAAAATTACATTTAAATTTTTTAATGTTTTTGTTTTATATATTAAAATGGAAAAGTTATTTTAAATTGTACTAATATTTCAGAATATTACTGATTTTATTGTTTGATTGATCAAATTAAAGCAGTCTTACCAGAAATGCAATATTTTTCAAAAAATTTGAATGGCAGAATAAGTGTAACATTCTATTTCCTTCATTTTTTATACATTTTCCTGAATTTTTTACTAATCCATTTTCATTTCGCAGTTCACTTAGAGATCACATGATATTTGTCTGGTTTGCTTGCCAAACACTGTTTTTCTTTCCCTACAGTATTTTCCTGGGCAAGGACATATTAAAGGGCTTGCTGTTTCTTAAATTAGCTGTACATTTTAAATGTGGACTGGAGTAATGGCTGCTGAAAATTCAGCTTTGATATCACATGAATAAATTACATTTTACAATATATTCAGACAGAAAACAATTATTTTAAATTGTAATAATATTTGACAATATTACTGTTTAAAAAATGGTAAGCATAAGAGACTTCTTTCAAAAACATGTTACAGACCCCCAACTTTTAAATGGTAGTGTATGTCAGTGATTAGAAAGCATGGAGCATGTGATCTTCACTCACGTCTTCACTGAAGAGTCCAATCCAGAGGGGTTGTCGTCTTCGAGAAACTTCAACTGTGAGCACTGCTTGCACATATGCATCAGGTATGCTGGCTAAGTCCATATTGTAGCTCTGGCATAACTGAAGAGCCTCTATCCATGTTAAATTGTCTTGCTGTACCACCTTAAATGTATGACTATGAACCGTGAAATTATCCTTATGATCAGGTTCCTCTGGTTTATCTGGGGAATTTGTCAGTTGGGTGTTAATCCACAGAACACTACTTCATATAACATACAGATGATTGAGACGATCGCTGGCGGCTCGTACCTGCATAATGCTGGCAGATGCTGACATTCTGACGGTCAGAGCAGGAGGTGAAGTCCCAGGTGCCCATCAAGTCAGAATGATCATCATTATACATGTAGGCACAGATCTCCATGGTGTCCTGTTCAAACGACTGCCGTACAAAAAGAGAACCCCTCAGATTAACTGTATTATGATTACTCTATGGCCAGAAAATTTGTAATCACTTATGAAATGAAAAGTAAAGCCAACTGAAGCCAAGTTATGGTGCTTGGGAGATGATATAAAAACTGCTTGATGATATAAAAACTGCTTCCCACAATGTTTTATTTCGCATTAGAGTGACTAGAGGCTTAGTTCACCTAAAAATGAAAACTTGCACAATACATATGACTTTCATTCTATCATCAAGAAAACAAGGAGATGTTTTGAGGAATGATAATGATGCTCTTTTCCATACAATGAAAGTGAATGAGGACAGAGGCTGTCAAGCTCCAAAAATGCACTTGTATGTTTGTTGTCAAGTTATTGCATGAATTCAGAAAACCATTACGAGTCGGATGGATCTTATGGTGCTTTTACTGTTTACACCACCATTCAAAAGTCTGGAGTTAGTAAGATCTTTTAATGTTTTTGATATAAGGCATTTATTTGATTAAAAACTACAGTAAAAACAGTAATATCGTGAAATATTATTACAGTTTTCTATTGTAATATATTTCAAATTAATGACGAAGAGCCTGTTAGCTCAAACGTTACCTTGTGTGAAGTACATTATTAAAGGGTTAGTTCACCCAAAAATGAAAATTCTGTCATTAATTACTCACCCTCATGTTGTTCCAAACCCGTAAGACCTTCGTTCATCTTCAGAACACAATTTAAGATATTTTTGATGAAATCTGAGGGCTCTCTGACCCTCCCATAGACAGCAAGGGTTTTGCATTTTTGGAGCCTATGGTGTGCCGACATATTTTAAAATGCAATTTATTACTGTGATGCAAAGCATGTATCCTTATTGAATAAAAGTATTAATTTCTGAGGCTGAATAATGGCAGAGTTTTCATTTTTGGGCAAACTAGTGTGTGTTTTTGTATTGCAAGTTATTGTAAACATGTGAGGAACACAATGCCACAAATGCTACTGAAAATAACCCAAATCTCCCAAATTCTGATTTCCAGTGCTTTGGACCAGATCTCCAGATTTTTGTGGTCATTTATATAACTTCAAGACTTTCAAAGCAGATGGACACTTGCATTGATGAATATGGGTCGTGTCTGGCCATGCAGGAGAGGATTGAAGTTCAGATATTCAAGAGGCGAGTTGTCCACCCACTGAATGCCATGAAGATAGATCTTTAGGCCAATCCAGACTTTCTGAGGCTGTCCGGGTAACTCCGGTAACAGTGTAGTGATGAAATCTAAATGGAGGAAAGATGCACAGGACAGACAGATAGAGAAAGAGAGAGTCAATAAGAGCACTAAAAGCATGAATAAAAATGTTTTATATTAAAATGTGTTCTCGGTGGATTTTAATAGAATATTAATCAAACACACCCTGTTCAACTTGGTCAGATATGGTGAGCAGCGTGCCTTTCAGTCTCTCGCAAAACTCACTGGCTTCTTTGAAGCTTTGGTAATAAGAGTCGGATAAAACCCAGTAGCACTGCAAGGTATATATACAATGATGTCATTAACAAAAAACACATGTTCAAAGTTCAAGGGATGTGACTGGCTGCGTGCGCATGACAGACCTTGTCTCTGAAGTGATGTGAATTTCCCCCACACGGGGTGCCGGGTGGGTGCAGTTTTGGGGTTCCTTTCTCCGCAGAAGTGACGTTCAGGGTCTCGCACACAAACGGCTGTCTTTCATTACAGCTGCCTTCTCTGAAACCTACAGAGAAGAAAAGATTAAAGAGGATCATCCGAGTCGCTTCATAAATCATAATTGTTGCTGTCAGTTTAGAGGGCTATTTTTCCAACTTTTAAACTCTTATAAAAGTTATTTCTTTTTAAAAAATACATGTCTTTCTTATCCTCTATTATAAAAGCAAATGCTTTAAAAATGCTTTATTCTTGTTTCTTGTACAAAACAGATCTTATAACTTAAAACAATAAATAAATGTAATTAATTCATTAATTTTAAAAACAGGTTAATTATTTATTTAAAATTTGTAGTAAAAGCGATGTACAAATATGAAAAATGTTTAAAACAGCAAACACCAATTCTGCTGTTACAGTAAATATTAGCATAAATGGCACTAACTACTACAAAAATCTTATAAGCATCATGTCCTTGCAAAGTGAAGAAAATGGTTTGTTTTTCAGAGGCAACATCATAAAACATGTCATTAAAACGGTCTAAAAGTCTGAATGTTTTATTAAATTTATACCGACACTTTGTTCAGCTAGTGAACAAAAACGTAAAGGTTGCACCCAGCTCCTGAAGTGATTCATGGGTCTTTCAACATTCACAGGAATTAGGAACTAGGAAAGTCATCCGAATGAGCCATGAAACATCTTCAAACTAAAAACATGTCAAGCTGCTCCAAAATAAACTCTGTAAGAGTAACTTTAGGAATCACAATGAGACTCTCATACCGGAATCAAATGAGACAGGAGTGATAGAGGGGCACCTGCCCAGAAACGCTGAATAATAGTAATGCATGGGGCTGAGCCTGCAAACACACACACATACACACCAATAAATGATAAACAAAAGAGAAGTTTGGGCCTTTAATTGTGCTTCTTGATGAGGTTTGGATGAGGTATGAAAAAGCAGAACTTACCTAAAGGGAATATGAGGATCAGGGTGACGAAGGTCTGCCCACCACTTTACAATGTTCTGCTCTGAATGCTACAGATTATTAAAAATGGATTCATTACTGGCTGGTTTGAACAATCATATACTCACTCATATTAATATCATCCATTACCCAACAGATCTCCACTTTATTGTGAATCAAACAATGTCCATTTATGAGCATGGGTGTTGTTTCTTACAATACTGCCAGCAGAACATTTAAAAAAGAAGCAATTGATTTAAAAATTGTAAAAAAAAAAAAAAAAAAA